ATTCATTATGAATATATGTATATATATATTCATTATGAATATATGTATATATACATATATATGTACATGTTATGTGTGTGTACATATATAGAGATACACACACACACACACACACACACACACACACACTGTATTTATTAAAATACCTTACACATTGTAGTCCAGCTCATACAACAATGGCTATCTACCAACAGAATGTCCAAAAATCCAGTAGTTGCTCAGTTCACAAAGCTGGATGTCTCAGCCACTTGTTGTTATTGGGATCCCAAAGATGTAGTTTCTAATACTAGTGGAAGAATGGACTTGCTAGTGACAGTGAGTAGGCAAAGAGAAAGTTTCTTTCTTCCATGTACTTTCATGTTCATAGACTGCCAGCAAAAAGTGTTTTCCATATTAAAGTTGGATCATCCCACCTTAAAAGACCTGGAGTAAAGGTGGGTCTTCCCAATTCAAAGATCCAGATTAGAAGTGGGTCTTTCCATTTCAAATGATTTAATTAAGGAAAACAAATCTCTTACAGGCGTGCCCAGCCCACATGCAGTCAAGTTGACAATCAAGAATAGCCATCACGTATCCTTAGGGTTGCCTGGGAGTCTTTAATGGCCATTACTCTGGCATCGGCAATGGGAACGAGTAAAGAGTGAGTCAAGGAGAGAGCCCTGTCCTGAGTCCTACATCTCTGCCACAATCAGAGCATTAGAGGACTGGATCTCTCAGCCCACATAAGGAGAAGAGTGAGATGTATTTTGTGGATGAAGCTTTGGGTTTGGGTTGTTTTACTTCATTTTGTTTTAATTTGATGATGCTATGACTTGAACACATAATCTTGCACATGCCAAACAAAAGCTCTACCACTGGGCTGTATCCCCTGCAAGGACGGATGCTAACAGGAATGCAAAAAACTTGTGGCTATGATTTTAAACCATGTGCTGCTGAGGCTAAGTAGTTGTTCATTTTGTGAGGAATGTTCCCTCTCAGTCTCTTGCTCTTTCAAGACAACAGTACATTCAGTAACATTTTGGTAGTCTTTAGGCTACCAGCTTGTGATTTTTATGTTGTTGTTGGCCACAAACCCAGCCTGTGCAAGCCTAAACAACACCTTCCTGATAGCTATATTCCTTATGAGAGAGGAAAAAGACTGTCCTAACAAACACAGAGATCTTGGGTGACAGACCTAGATTTGACAGTGTGGACCACAATAGCACAGGGAATATAATTAATGCTTAACACATATTTACTGGTATTGGTGGGGTTTGTTTTGCAGCAGCACTGGGCAGGGGTGGGGTGCTTTTTCTTCATTTGAAGATCCTTTATAAAAAATGCCTGGGATCAGAGTGTTTACAATTTTGAACTTTTTAGATTTGGAGATATTTGCATGGACTTCACTAGCTGAGGATCATAATGTAAAAACCTGAAATCTTAAATGCCTCAAAATAGGAAACTTTGAGCATCATGTTGGCCTCAAATTTCAGAGAATTTCTGATTTTGAATTAATTATATACCCCTTGCATCATATTTAACTTATAACCTATGTTAGAAATCCCAGGGAGCCCCAAAGTTTAGCCCCACTTTAGCGGTAAAGAACTTCAGATTAAAGTCTTTAGCAAAGCAAGTTCTAGAATGGACTTGAACTCAACACTGCTATCCAAGCCCCACTTGTCTTTGAGTTCTTTTTAAAACTAGGCAAGACAGAGAAGACAGAGCAAGAGTTTGTGTATAACTCAGAATAGACCTTCAGCTCATTTGGCCATTGAAACTGCTAGGGTATTAAACACGTTAAACATGTCTCAGATTTCAGCAATTCCATCCTCACCTAAATGGGAGCCTGTAAATCCAGAAAAAAAAACTTCAGCTGCTCCAATATGAGTAGCATACAGCCACGGAGTTCAGAGAGACAAGGCATTCTTCCTTGACATATTTTTAAGTGGCATCCTGTCTTTTTTGGACCAAGGACATTTGGAAGGCTAAACAGCCGAGATAACTAGCAACAAATCTACAGTCAGGAAACACATTGGTTGTTTGAGGAACCAGCATCTCTCTGTTCTCCTAACCTTGAGGTTGTGCGTGCTGTTCTGGCCAGCAGATAGATACACTGGGAAATGATTAAAGGGGTCAAGAATGTCCCAGTTAAAGCCAAATGGGTTCCTAACTCACTAAAGAGGACTAATCTCACCTAACTCATCCACTTATCACCTCAGGAAATAGCTATGAGGTCTGCCATTGCTGCAGGGCTGCCTGACACACACTACATTGTAAGGACCCCTGCCTTGGGGCTGCATATGTGCCTCTGCTTAAGTTGCCTTCATAAGGATTCACACCATTGCGGTATTCAAAACCCTGCAGAAGCAAATGCCATGGAGAGATTGGCTCAGTCTTTACATCCCCTCCCTCCACTATCTGCCAGCCATCATCTGCTTAAGAGGTAACCTCCATTCCCTCACCTTTGTTTGGGCAGGGTCATCTGATGACTGTTTCCTGACAGTACAAGGTTTAAAGCATTAAAACACATATGAAAATCCTGTTTTTATTCTATGTTGGTGAATAGGGGGTGGATGAGTCCCAGTCGGAGTCAGACACTGCAATGTGTGGCATTTCATGCCCTAGCTGCCATCAAGTGTTGGTTGAAAAGGGAAATACGTTCTAGCAAATGAGTCTTCTTGAATGCTAGGGACCTCCAAAGAGACTCATTAGCTTTTCTGATTGACAGAAGCTGACAGATGGGATGCAGCCAGGCACTCACTAAGTCACAGTGCTTTGGGGATGAAAATGAGTCTTTCACTACCTGAACACTCCATTCATCTCACAGTTGTGAAAAAACTATCAGTGTCAGTCACATGATCTCATTCTCAAGAACTTTCAGATTAAATAAGAATCCACTGGCTGACAGAGTATCTGAGAATTAAGCTTTTTCTCAAAGGCACACATCCAATAAAAAAAAAAAGGAAAACAAACGAAGGTTAATAAAAATATCATAAGACTTCATTTGTATGTATGAAAATGAATCTTTGAGTCTAGTCTGGCAGAAGCCAGTTTTGACCCTCGACAGTTAAGTTGCATTGCAGAAATTTTTTAGACGATAAAAACTATTGTGTACTGATTTGTGATTCTTTCTGGTAATGAGGAGTTTACAACAATTCATTGTGTTTAATCACATCAGGACTGCAGCTTCTGGAGGTTTCAGGAGCGACTGATTGTTCAGCTTATTGCACAGAAGGAAAACAGAGTCA